ACGTATGAATGTATAATGGGAGCGACGGCGCGGGAGGAGCAGATGGTCGGTCTTCTGAGAGGCAATAATTATTAAGAAGACGAAGTGCAGACATCCGGCGTGGGGACTGTTTCAATAGGCATGCACAATGAGATCCCCAATCGATCCTAGGGGGATTACATGCGCGTTTGCTTGGGAAGTTATGGGCGTACAGACCCGCTATACAAACAAGCCCTTTTATTCCAGTGGTCTAGTGGCTGGGATTTTGACAGACTGCACAGCGTGCGCCTATCAATCCAGTGGAGAGGTCGGCCAATGAAACTGCGACACGAGCTAAAAGCGGCGAGAAGGTGGTGCGGTCGCGGAAGAAGCAATGGGACGTGCAGGAGTCCAGAGTGAAGGAGCGTGACGCGTCAGTAGTGGGCGCACCGGGGCAGGAATTAGCAGAGGATCCGACACTACACGTAGCAAGAGAGGCTTGTCTAGGCACACACAAACAATAGGATCCGACAATACTAGAGTAATCGGCCGATATGGCAAACAGAGCAGATCCTATTTGAGACTTGTCTCAAACACAGACAAACCACTATGCAATAGCGTAGGCCAGTCCGAGGGGGGCGCCGTAGGGCATGGAAGAGGTTGTCAAGGTGGCAGAAACAACGCATCGTGGAGTGATCAATATGTCCGAAGATGGTGCAGCTCTGTGGAACATACTGAATCTGGTACTAGCAGGGCCCGGTGAATGGGCCACACGACGCTCAACTATCAGACCCACCCGTGGCAACCGCTCTCTAGGCCAGCAGGCCCCACTACACATAGGAGACCTACTACTCGATCTGCTGCTGCTGCTTCGGCCCCACAGGACTAGCACCTCTTATGACGGTACCCCCAAAAACGACACTCCTTGTGTCAGTACCCCTTGACGTACCAGCACCTCCACCTCCTCCACGACCATGACCACCCCCGCACCATTTTCGCCCTTGAGAGAAGGCAGAGACAGCTGCGACTTCCTATAGCAGTAGGCTCAACAACACCAGTATAAGCAGTTGGGGTAGGGAGCTGGGGCGGAGCTCACCCTTCAGAGATATGGGGGACTATCGCTCAAGTGGTGGAGGCGATCGTGTGAAACTGGGTCTCGATCTCAACGAGACAAGTCTCAAAGAGATCGATAGTGAGGATTATAGGGTGCACGTCGAGGAGGTCATCGCGGACAGGCGCGGTGTGGTCAGGGAGGCGGTTTGCTAGGAAGTGCAGGTGAGATTCATGGAGGGTAACGTGCAAAGCGAGGTGGCCAGTAATGCAAGCAGCACGGAAGCTAGCGAGTGCACGGAAAAAGCAGGAGGCATCTCAGAATAACATAGGAGGGGGTGGAGTCACGAGCGACAATAGCATCCAGGGAATCCTTCACCGTCACGGCCTGGCGCAAGTGCACTCGCTCAGCCGGCGAAAGGAGGCGACTAAGAGCAGAAGCATCATATGACTCTCAAATCGACTACACAAGCTGGGCCACGTTTTGAGCCTCTCTCTCTTCCGACGTGGGCTTAGCAGTATGAGTAGTAGAACGGGAAGGGGGAGGGGGGGGAGGGGGGGGGGGGGGGGGGGGGGGGGGGGGGGGGGGGGGGGGGGGGGAGCTTACCCAACGTGTGCGTGTACATGGTGAAGTATTATGGTGCTGGCTTTATAGGTGGAGCGTGGCGTCGAACAACTATGCGTCAAAATCACTTGCCAGCTACTCTGCATCGAGCCATAATACAATATCGGACGCCATGACAGGAGTGAGCAGGTTGATGAAGAGGCTGATGAGCACCAAGCGGGAGAAGGGGTGTTTTTGGTGGATTAGAGGGCTCAAATTTATTTTAAGGTTGGCTGATTGATCCGCCTTGGTTTGAAATAAAGAGAGCTAGAAAATCAATGTTACCGATAAATTAGTGTCACTATAGGCTATACAATATTGTACCTTCACTCGATTACGCTCAGGATCGGCAAGCACACCAGCTCATGAGGGTGCGCATGCTAAGGGGAGCGAGGGCTACGGTGCAGACTATGGGGCAGGCTACGTGGCGGGCTACGGGGTGGGCTAAGGTGCGGTATATGGGACGGGCCACGGGGTGGGTTACAATGCGAACTATGGGGCGGGATAAGGAGCGGGCCAGGCCCTCAGATATCAGCGTAAAACACGCTGATTAGGCTGATTTTGTAGCTGTGATTTTCGTTTTCCCTGGAAATTCAGCATATGCTTCAATTTTGCACTGAAATTTCAGTATAAACTACCTTGCCACACTGACCATTTTCCGTGTTGCTGTAGAAGTAACACTGACGAATCAGTGTAGTGTCGTGAGTCACACTGAAACGGACTTGACCGATTCGGGGGGGGGGGGGGGGGGTACGCGTGTGTATAGTATGTACCTGGCCCGGGATTCACGAGACCCCACCCACACACTTGGAGATGCCATGCGCTGTACAGCAGATCGCGTGCCGACGTGCTTTGCATCGCTGGAAGGAACTCTCACAGCGGCAAACTTTGAGTTGAATTGGTGATTCAACTTTGTTTTTCTTTTTTACACTGATGGTTCAGTCTACTTATGATTTTTACACTGGCAAAATCAGTATAAAAAAAACCATGAACGCTGATTTGGACACCTGGGCGGCCGGGGCACGCTGATTGATCAGCATACCCTCAAACCAATCTGAGGGCCTGGAGCGGGCTAAGGGGCGGGCTACAGCAGTAGTACAAAATTCAGTGTTCCCCTTATATCTAAGGCCGATGAATAAGTGTGTAGTCTAGAAAAAATGCTAAAAAATAAGTGAAAAGGTGAAAAAAGACTGAAATATCAGCCTCCACAAAAAGAAGCCTGAAGTTTTAGCCTTTTTTAAACATAAATCAACCCTTTTTTTATTACATATGAGGCACTGTAGCGGATGCATAACTATGTTTGTGAACATGTATATAGATTCCATTGTAAGCAGGTTTTTGTAAAGTGACAATAGTATATGCTTGATTAAAAACTAGTGAATATATAGGGTTCTACCAAGCTTTATTGTACCATTTGAAGGATTTCAAGGTCAATATTCAGAAGTGGATTGTAAGAAATTCACTATATTGCCGCAGTGTTCTCTGTAGTTTCTAAGTGGTAGTTTGTTCCGTAAATTGTGACAATCATGAATCGCATTCGTCCAATAAGAATTGATCAATTTCAAGCGAGCCAAGGTTGTGCTGGTTGTTGAACGAAGTGTGTGTCAGCGAAGCTACGGGAAAATCTTGGTCGTCGGTTGTCTCACCTTGATATGCGGGATGCGCATGTCCTCTTCCACGACGGGAAAGGGACGTTGGCTCTTCGATCCTCGAATGTTGGCAAGAGCCAATGGAGACGAGCTTCTGTTCTGCGCACTGGAATTTCGCACCTTACGGGGCTCATCCGTTTCTCTCCCACCACGCTCCTTGGGTTGGGTACCTGAGCTGATGGAGGAGACACCCCTTCAGCTTGCTTGCATCGTTGTGCCTGCTGGTGGTAGGAAAACTGGGGTTTCATTGCACATAAGGGGAGCTCCCAAGAACCTTAGGCTCAGTTGTGAGCTGAATTTCCGCGCTTAGACTTGATATTATATATGCTCTTCGCGTAGGTTATCTACTTCTATATTTTTAGAGCTTTGCGCCTCGGCTACTGAACTTGCTTTCAAGTTTGTGTCAAGTACTACTCTACCAACTTCTGTCAACATAGTTGCTTCTTACTGACTTTTGGACACACTTTTACATCTTCAATGGCGGAGACTGTTGCTAGCAAGGCAGGAGAAGACAAGCCGAAGGCGGCTTCTTCTCCTGCAGTCAAGGCTAAAGTTCCTGCTTCCAAAGTTGCTAAGCCAAAAGCTGTGAAGTCGAAGTCTCCGAAGCCTGCCGGTGCCAAGCCAAGAGCTGCCAGGGCTAATCATCCGAAGTACATTGAGGTACGCATTTGAAGTCGTGGAGACATTAAATTCGAAAGTTCCTCGCTTAACACTATCTCGTTGTTGTGATGGTGCAGATGGTGAAGGAAGCCATTGTGGCCTTGAAGGAAAGAACTGGTTCAAGTGTGCCTGCCATTGCCAAGTATATCGCTCAAAAGCACCCAGACCTTCCTGCCAACTGGAAGAAGACCTTGGCCATTCAACTGAAGAACTTGACCAAGGCTGGCAAACTTGTGAAGGTGAAGGCTAGTTTCAAGCTTGGAGGTGAATTGAAGCAAGCGAAGCCTGTTCGTGCTCCAGCGAAGAAGACCCCCACGACAGTGAAGAAGGTGGCGAAGCCTAAAGCTGCGTCGAAGCCACGACCCAAAGCTGTTCCGAAGGCTGTCAAGTCCGCGAAGCCATCGACTCCGAAGAAGGTTGCGAAGCCTGCTAAGTCCCCCGCGAAGAAGCCTTTGCGCGCAGCCCCGAAGGTTAGGAAGGTGACGGACAAGAAGCCAGCGGTTAAGAAGGTGACACCCAAGGCAAAGGCTCCATCGCCAAAGAAGGTCAAGACAGCTGCTCGGGCTTCTCCTAGGAAGCCACCTGCCAAGAAGGCCAAGACAGCTGCTAAGAAGTGAGCCTCGCAGGCTTAAATGTTGACTGGACGATTGTATAGCCTATGTGAGAGATGGCATTCTGACTAGGATTCGTTTTTTCCCCTTGTCCTCCTCCACTTGTGCATTTTGTCTGGATGAGTATAACATGACATGCTTGGTTTGTGCTCCTATTATTAAATCGCTGTTCTCTAGCCATTACTGAACTTTTCATTTTGTATCTCTGCTCTTGGGATGAAATTTGGTGCTCTCTGCTTTTCATTCCGAACTTACCATGAATAAGGTAACAGCAGAGTTGGTGCCTGCCGTTTAGTTCATGGGGAACACATCCACAGCTGATTTTGTTGCCACTTGTAGGCGCCAATGGCTCCACAATTACTTGTATCATGCACCAGTCAAATCACCACGCGCCTTGAAGCGACCAAGCACCACCTTGTCATCCAGTACACCATTTTTTCCTCTCTCAAGATTCACACAAGTCTACCCCTATCCCTTACTACGCTGGCCCGTCCCACCAACCTCTCCCTTGTCCTGCACCCTAAAGGTGAAGTTGAGCCGGCCTGGAGTCATGACAAGGTTTGGTGGTCTGGTTCCTGGGACGAGATCTCTGGTTCCGTGATACACAAGGCGCGAAGCAGCTCCAAACACCAGCACGTCTCCACTAGATAGAGACACAATTCGCTCCCTGTCCAGGGAATGAAAGTACGTGGGTAGAGTCACAAACTGTGGGAACATGCCAGCCCAAGAAGCATTGGCTGGAGTGGTGGGAACATACCCGTACCAGCCAAAACGAGAACGTGTGCACACACGAATGCATGGTTGCATACTTGCATACTTGCATACGTACGCCTGCAGATCGCACCTGTTATGCGCAGCATCGCCGAGCGCAGAGCGCGCAGCAGCCACCGGGTCATCAATCTTCACTGCAATGCCGGACCGACGGCGGTGCAGAGGAGGGAGTGGCCGAAAGAAGAACTGCATGGTGTCGCCCACACTCACGCTCACCTGGAATCCAGGAAACATGCCCAGCCCACCATACATAGTGCAAACACATGCCAACAGATAACTTTAGGTGTGTCTCAAAAGGTGCAAAGGGGGGAGTGGCCGGAAGAAGAACTTCATTGTGTAGCCCACACTCACGCTCACCTGGAATCCAGGAACCAGGCCCACTGTACAGAATGCAAACTTATGGGCACAGCTGAACGGACCGGGCCCCCTCTCTCCCCTCCCATAGAACAGGAGCAAATTGGCAAATGGACGCGACTCTGAACATTCGTACTATGAAAAGTACATGTTACCGGCAAAACAGGTGTGCATTCATCATCTAGATTTAGACACCCTCCCTGGCTGCCGCCTACCACAGGCATGTTGTATGAGTCGTCTCGATCCTGGTGCCCTCCCAGCCCTATCCGCCCTAATTCCTCTGCGCGTGCCTGTAGCGAGACAAACAGCACATATGCAAGGTTTCTTGAACAAGAGTGATATATATCTGGCATGCAGGAAACACATGCAATTTCACAACAGGATTGTTGCTGCTGCTGCTGCTGCTGCTGCTGCTGTGCCATCTCCAATGTGAACGCACACGCACGGAGCATGAGGAGAACAAATGCACACGTTTCAGAACATGAACTAGAAGCACATGGGCTTACTGGGTAGAAGTTCACAAGGCAAACGTCTGGCACAAAGGCATCGAGATAAGCCGCTGCTTCCTTTCCTTCTCCTAGACCAACCCCTCCTCCTCTTCCTCCACCTCCCCCTCCTCCTCCTCTTCCTCCACCTCCCCTTCCTCCTCCTCCTCCTCCTCCTCCTCCTCCTCCTCCTCCTCCTCCTCCTCCTCCTCCTCCTCCTCCTCCTCCTCCTCCTCTTCCTCCTCCTCCTCCTCCTCCTCCTCCTCCTCCTCCTCCTCCTCCTCCTCCTCCTCCTCCTCTCCCTCTTTCCACTCCTCCCTCCTCTCCTCCCCCCACTCCTCTTCCCCCTCCTCCTCCCCCACCATCCCAGAACACTGGGCTGTGTGAGTGTGCTTCGAGAGCGAGGCTCCCCGCGAGGTGAGCAAGGTCAGGGGGGATGGGCGGGGCCCATGCAGCAGCGGCGTAGCGGTTGAGCGTGCTGCTCCACGCGGCACCCCAACAGGTCTGAGATAAAAGGGAAGGGAGAACCCCAACAGGAGTGGGAGGAAGACGCACAAGCAGACACAGAGGCACACAGACAGGCGCACGCATTGAGTTGCTTCCAGATTTATAGGGAGGCCAAGGGAAATGGGCTGTGTGAGTGTGCTTCGAGAACGAGCCTTTGGGCGAGGTGATGGGCGAGGCACCGAGCGAGGTGATGGGCAAGGTCACGGGGGGATGGGCGGGGCCCATGCTGCAGTGGCAAAACGGTTGAGTGTGCTGCTCCACGCCGCACCCCAACAGGTCTGTGTGGGTTCATAGGAGCACGGCAACAGGACCGGAGGGAGACACATATACAGATACACAGAGTGGGGCCGGGCGTGCACGCACGCACGCACGCACGCACGCACGCACGCACGCACGCACGCACGCACGCACGCACGCACGCACACACGCACGCACACAAACACACACCCACACACACATTGAGATGCCTCAAGAGTGGACGGGAAGCAATCATGTCTGTGATTCGATCTGAAGCAGATGTGTGAATAAGGGGGGAAAAAATGGTGCATGCTTTGAAATCAAAGTGTGCTGTATTGAACTGTGGTCAAATCACACATGCTGCCAAATGGGAAACAGGGAGCTGGAGGATGCACAATGCAGGGCACGGAAACATTACAAAGAAACATATGGCAGGTGGTACTGCCTCCTCCCCCCTTACCAAGTACAGGTGGTATCTGCCTCGCCCGCTCCCTTACCGAATACAGGTGGTATCTGCCTCGCCCGCTCCCTTACCGAATACAGGTGGTATCTGCCTCGCCCGCTCCCTTACCGAATACAGGTGGTATCTGCCTCGCCCGCTCCCTTACCGAATACAGGTGGTATCTGCCTCGCCCGCTCCCTTACCGAATACAGGTGGTATCTGCCTCGCCCGCTCCCTTACCGAATACAGGTGGTATCTGCCTCCCCCTGCAGTGACTGGTCTGCGGAAAAGGTCTTTTGTCTCCTGCGCTGCCTGCACAAACCGCTGCTGCTGCTGCACTGACAGCCGCCCCCGCAGCAGCACCATGCTGACGTGGCACACACGTGGCAGGGGAAGAGAGAGACAGACCGGGGAAAAATCCGATTCGTGTGTGTGAGAGGCATGGAGAGGGGAAGTGGAAGCAAGGAGGAAGAGAACGGTATCGCAATCAAGGACCCGTTAATCTTCGTTCCTAGGAGTTGAGACAGTTTTGACGGCGCCTCAGAAACCATTCTCCTTCGACCATGCGTTCCCACTTCCTGTTTCCGTCCTCGGTCCACTTACCCTGGCTGCAGAACAGTCACACGGACTTTCTCCCGCCCTGCAATCCCCTCCCCATAGCCACCACACCCTGTAGCAGCAGATGTTGCAGCAGGGGTTGCAGCAGGAGGGACCACTGCAGCAGCAGGCTGGGCACTTGGTAGGGAAAGTCCGCATCTTGCATCTGGGATGGGATCCCCTTGCTTGGAGGAACGAGGAGGAAAGGACAGAGGAAAGGGAGGAGGAATGGGAGCGGGGAGGAAGGCGGAGAGACGGGGTTGGCGGAGCTTGTCCGGGCAGAGGAAGTCCAGAGGCGCTGCAGGGAGCGAGCCAGAAGGAGAGGGGGGAGGCGCAGGCGTGGGGGAGAGGGCAGGTGAAAGCGCAGGGGAAAGGGCACGGGAAAGGGCGGGGGAAAGGGCGGGGGAAAGGGCAGGAGAGAGGGCGGGGGAAGACAGGGGAAGGTGTGGGCAACTGCGTGGTCGTTGACTTTTTTGCAGCAGGAGTTGTAGTGGCGCCTGAGGTTGCTGGGTTGGGCGAGGGTGTTGCGCTGAGGAGAATGGGTATTGAATTGCAGGGGGAGATGTTGCTGTGGAGGAGTAACGGGATGTTGCGGATGGTGCTGATGCGGATGGTGCTGATGTGGATGGTGCTAGCCCCGGTGCTGCTACAAAGCGGTTCTGATGAAGGCTGTACGTGATTGCAGTGCCGCCTTCCCCTGTGCCGCCTTCCCCTGTGCCGCTCTCACCGTCCACTCCTTCCACTCGCCATCTTCGCCTCTTACCGCGGACTTCGTGATGCAAGGAAGCGGCAGTATTATGGCTGATTTCCTTCTCACCCCCCTCGCAGTCACTCTCCTCACAGTCACCCCCCTCGCAGTCACCCTTCTCGCAGTCACCCTCCTCGCAGTCACTTGCATTGCCTCGCCCCTCTTGTTCCGTTTGAGCTCCAGCATCAAGCGCTACAGAAGCAGCAGCAGAGGCAGCGGTGGTAACAGCAGCCTCCTCCCGACCTGGTAAAGAATTCCCCGCTGTTTTTTCTCGCATCCGCTCGCCATCCCCAACCCACGCGCTCTCCTCTCTCAACACCACGGGCACCTCTTCTGACTGCATTACGCCCGTATCCCTGACCATTTCCGGCACCAGAGACTGTTGAAGTGTATCTCGCGTCAACTCAGAGTACAGTAGCTTGTGAAAAACCTCATTTGCTTCGTGGGCTGGCATTTCCTTGACCATCCTTCGCGGGAGATCAGGTTTTCCTGAGCCCCTGTTCTCTCCTGCGGTCGTGCTCCTGTTAATGTCACGATGGGCCTCATCACTCGCTGCTGTCACGAAAAAGACTCCAGCAGGATCCGATCCCAAACCATCGTCTCTCTCCGCGTCCGTTTCTCGCCGCATAAGACGGAGAGACAACTCAGTAGTAGCTGAAGCACCTACGGTACCAACAGTATCAGCTATACCAGCTGCACCAGCACCAACCGCTCCAACCGTACCATCAATTGATTTACCAGCAGCACCAGACCAATGTTTTGGCTGTTTTACCCCGCACGCTGCCGCGGTTGCATGCTCTATTCCTAGCGATGCCTGTTCGCCAGTGCCATGGTTGCCCATTCTTTCGCCGTCACTTGGTATTTCCGCAAAATTTGACGGCAGCGGGACCGTAGGCCGAGGGCCTGACGGCAGAGGACATGACGGCAAACGGTTCGACTGCAAACGGCTTGACGGCTGACTCGTCGCGTCCAGGCACTCATTCACGTGGAACAGCATGCGAGACCGTGCGACGTGCTTCTCGCACACCACGCATCGCCACAGCCCGCTACGGCTTTCGCCAGTTTCATTCCTTTCGTTGGCCTCGCGCGAAGACGTGCCAACGAAATCGGCCGCGAGAGGCTGGTTTCGGTTAAAGCCTGAGGCATTTGAGCCGATACGTCTGCATTTGTCCACGCCGCGGCGCGGAAACTTCGCAGCTCTCTGCTGCGACGGAGCCAGTGCCATCAGTCGCCGTAGGGCGTCGTCGGATCTTCGCAGCTCTTCGCGCGAAGACATGGTGGAAAATGTAAATTGATGCACTTGGTGGAATCGGGTGAGACATCCGCACGTGGACAGACTGCCTGTCGCGTGGTTGTGTGCGCAGCGCTGTCAATTATAGTAGACGGAATGTCGAGAAAACATGTGTGAAAGCGAATTGAGGGCGTGTCCAGCGCGTACGTTTTCAGGTACTATACAGTTCATTCGTCGTGGTTTGAAAAGATATCAGGCGGTGCACAGCGGTCTTAAAATTGCACCGTTTTGAACAGTGACGCAGTACAGATTACCGTACTGGATGAACTGTAATGTAGGGAAAACGTACGCGCTGGACCCGCCCTGAGTGTACAAGTCTCGAGGCGATAATGGGTTGGGGGTTGGGGGGAGCAAGCGGAGTCGTGAGCAGCACGCTCTATCTGTCTGCCTGTGTTGAGCCGAGTTATCACACTGGAGACTACTGTATCGCGCAAAAACTCGATTAAAATGTGCAGACCGAACTGCACCTGAAACTGATCTCGAAAGCAGCACAAACATTTGAGTCCAAAAATTAGGCGGGAAAAAGCCGCGCTGACACTTCAGATATTGTCCTAAAAGGAATATCGCATACCCTGAATGCTCCTCTAGCCCTCCAGACCCCACCAAATGTTTTGAAGTACCCATGGAAGTTCAGAAGAAGGGGCATGCGACAGGTTTTGGAATAATGAATAGCTGTTAAGTTTCTTATATGGAATACAGTTCTTAGAATCGAGGCCCAATTAACCCCTCCAGAAGTAGAACCTTGCCTCGGCAATCACTGCCCGCGTCAATCTCTATGACATGCACTGCGCAGCGACGACAGCGATCTCACGTGTGCCACGTGTCTCCAATCTTGCCGCTGCGCCAGTGCCATCCCCTCCCCCTCGACACATCCCGCCCCAAACATCTTCCCTTCCCTTCTCCCACAACAACCTGTTCATTCCCGCTCCCCTTCTTGTCTCCTTGTCTCCTCCATCGTCCCGTCCCATCCCATCTCCCCCCTCTCCCTGTTCTCTTCTAGTACTCTCTTCCCTGCTTGTCTTGTAGTCTGTCACTTGTCCCAACTCACCTCTTGATCCCAACAAGCCAGGCAATTATCCTGCATTCATTACCCTCGGAGGATTATCATCACAAGGGCATTGGAACGCGGGCATGGATTGCTTTGTCCGCTCAATAGTGTTACCTTCCAGGCACAGAGCCTCTGACTGATCATCTCGTCTTCGTCTCATTGCCTCATTGCGGTTTTTTTCAAGCACGTCGAAGCTTTAAAGTTGCTGCATTTCCTGTACTCTGTACGCTTCCGTATCGTTTCGAACACAACACCGCACCACCTCCTGCTCTCGGCGCTCCCCGACTCGCGCTATGGATCCGTCTGATCTCAAGCATATGCCCACGCCTCGTTCTTCCCGCGACAACCCTCCATTTTCCCCAAAAGCGCCTCTTTTATCTCCCGACGCCCCTCGTTCTCCCTCGGCGAACCAGCTCCACTCGAAAAAGAACCGCCTATTTCGCTCCACAGATTGTCGCCAACCCCCCGGCGAATCATCTCTCCGTTTTTCCCAGCGCCGCCATTTCTCCGCCGCGCGTTCGTTGCCCTCGGGCTCCAACGCGCCCGCGCATCTCGTTTCGCCGTTGGACCCGTCACTCTCCTCCTCCTCTTCCGATGAGGAGGACTTTCCAATCGCCGTCCACCGTGCAGCACCGCTCCAAACCGCGCAACCGCCCGTTTTTTCCGCGCATCTCTCCGCGCAGCCGGCCCCCCCGCAGGGCGCGTCCGCGCGCCTCCCCGCCTCGTGGTTTCAAGAAGCGGCGGCGGGAGCGGATCGGTGGGGTGCCCGGGTGCGATACAAAGGGAGGTTGAAAGTGACTGAAGAGAGATATTATCCAGAGGCAGAGGCATGGAAGAGACAGCGGGAGAGAGCGAGAGAGAGGGAGAGGGAAAGGGAGAGGGAGAGGGAGGAGAAGATGGAGTTGGAGAGTGGAGATGAGGAGGGATCAATGAGAGCTGGATCGGATGCTGCTGAAGATGATGAGGAGGACGATGGTGGGGAAGGCGATGAGGCGATGGGGATGAATGATGGGAAGGAGGAGAGGGAAAAGGAGAGGGAAGCGAGAGTGGAAGGGTGTGACGGAAAGGAGAACGGGGGATCTGGTGGATGTGGTGCGAATATGGTGGAGGGTGTGGAGGGTAAGGAGGAAGTAAAGAGAGAAAATGCAGAGGATGAAATTGAGGAAGGGGAGGTATTCTCTGATGAGGAAGATGCAGAGGAAGGTACAGAGGAAGGAGCAGCGGAAGAAACGGAGGAAGACGCAAAGGAAGATGCCACGAAGGATGAGCCAAAGGAAACCTCGATGGGAGATAATCAGCAACAGAGAGTGATGGAGGTAGAGGAACGAGAGGAGAGGGAGAGGGAGAGGGAGAGGGAGAGGGAGAGGGAGAGGGATAGGGAGAGGGAGAGGGAGAGGGAGAGGGATAGGGAGTCAGGGACGCAGCGAGTAGCTAAGGTAGAGCCAGATACTGCTATGGATGTTGAGACCAAAGGTTCAGTAGGGTGGGAGGGGGAGGAGCGAAAGTTGCAGGCGAGGGTGAAGACGGAGCGAGAAGAAGGATGCAGCGAGAAGGAGAGTGGGCCTGGTGGCTGCTCTGCTAGTGGGGTTGGTATGGGTGGTGCGCGTGACGTGTGTGGTATGGGTGGTGTGGTTGGTGTGACTACCAAGGTGAATGATGAAGGTGGGGCGAAACGGAGGGAGTTAAGTGAGGGAGGAGGCGCAGAGGGAGATATGGGTGTTAAAAAGGAGGAGGCGGAGGGGGAGGAGGAGGAGGGAGGGGTTGTGAAGACTGAGGATGGGTATGAAAAGGAGGATGGGCAAGGGGCGTTTGAGGTAGAGGATAACGATGATGATGATGATGATTGTCATGTGAAAGTTGATTTTCGTGATGATGATGATGGCCGTGCTGATGCGGATGGGGACGCTGATGGTGTGAACGATTACATTGATGTTGATGATGATGTAGGTGATGGTAATGGTGATTCTGATGGTGATGCTGCTGCGGGTGGTGGTGATGGTGATGGGGATGCTGCTGCCGATGATGATGATGATGATGACGTGGTGTTTGTGGATGAAAAAGAAGCGGACCCGTTTCCACAAGGTCAAAGGGAAAACCTCACCGGAGTCAGGGCATCGCCTGCAGCAGCAGGGACAGAGGGCGCAGCAGCAGCAGCAGCAGCATCAGGAGCGGCAGCGGCTGCAGCAGGGGCAACAAGCCCACGGAAGAGAAGAAAGCGTATGACACGGCCACCAGGAGGAGAAGCAGCGGATGGGGATACCCATGCGAAGGCTCCCCAGGGAAGAAGAAGACAACAAGGCAGTGCTTATGGCGGTGCCGGGGGGAGTTCTGGGTCAGCTCGGAACATACCTGGTGGTGGCGCTGCTGCAGTGGCCCACTTCTGGCAGGACGAGGCGGAATACAACTCCCTACACAAGGTAGATAGAGTCATTCTGGTGCTCTTATGAGTCGTCTCAACATGAAAGTGTAAGTCGATTACAATTACGAATTTCCTGCATGTGAACAAGGTCGTGCTTACATGTTGCGTGTGCTTTGTCGAGCAAAATCGTCTTGCGTTGCTTTTGTTTTGTTTCGTTTCTTTTACGTCCCTCTCCCTCCGTTCTTCCTCTGCTCTGTTCTTCTAAGAAAGGCTGTGTAAGAAGGCTCGAGGAGGTCAAGAGACAAGCAGCCAAAAATCTGGTTTATAAACATTGCCGCAGATGCAGGCACAGGAGGTTTGTGAAGTTGCCAGCTTTCCATTTCCCTCGGTCCATCTACTCTACTCCCTCCCCTGCTCTACGGCCGCAGATGCGAGCACAAGGCACTGGCCTTCCCTGGGGAGTGATGCAAGGGTGTGAAGGCTTCCTTTTGAGTTGCTTAAAGGTCATCCATTTCCCTCGGTCTATTGATTCACCTACCTCTCCTCCGCTGTGGCCCGTTGTGTCTGCAGATGCGAGCGCAGGACACTGGTCTCCCCTGGGGAGTGATGGAGGGGTGTGAGGGGTGCCGTTACCGCGGGTGCTACCGATGCTGCCACGTGTCGGCACGCTGGAAGCCGGATGAGTCACGACGGCCCTCCGTGGGAGAGGCACCCACGTTCTACCCCACTGCCGAGGTGCGTTGCTGCTGTTAGCTGTTGTTGTCGTTGCCCTCCTTGTCATTGCCGGTATGTGTGTGTCCATCTGTGTGTGTGTGTGTGTGCGTGTGCGTGCGCGTGCGCATGTGCGTCCGTCACAATACTAAAACCCGAAGCTTAAAACCATCCGCGTCTTTCCCACCAGGAGTTTGCCAATCCAGTGCGCTACATCCAGTCAATCCAGCGGTTAGCAGAGGAGCACGGGATATGCCGCATCGTGCCGCCCGCCTCCTGGACGCTCCCTGCGGGCGCCTCTCTCTCCCAGGAGCACCTGCGCTCCCTACGCTGCCGCTACCCCACACGTGTGCAAGAAGTCAGCCGCCTGCAGGTGAGTGAGAGAGTGGTTTCAGATGAGTTTCTGAGACGCCTCCTGCTGCTGTCGTTCTTCTCAGCAGCCTTCTTTTTTGCTTAATCGCCTCGCTTCAATCTTTCCCGGCACTGATCTCTCTAACTCTCTCCTCTCCTCCTCACTCCCTCATCTCTCCATGCACACCAGGTCCGCAAGCCCTGGACGGCAGCTGCTGGAAACAGCCGGGGTTATCAGGAGCACCCCCACCAGAAGATGCAGCAGCAGCAGCAACCAGAACCAGCACACCTGCAGCAACAGCCGCACCACCAGCAGCAGCAGCAGCACCTGCAGCAGCAGCAGCAGCAGCAGCAGCAGCAGCAGCAGCAGCAGCAGCAGCGGCAGCGGCACCAGTACCAACAGCGGCAGCGGCAGCAGCACTATATCCCCCCAGTCACCTCAGTGGACAACATTCCAATCATTCTCGCCCTTGCAGCCCCTGGTGGTCCCAATGACACCTGGCACGAGAAATCCCCCAAGATTAAAGCCCTTTCTTGCATCGGCTCCCCTAAAAGAACCCTCCACTGGATCAGCAAGGGCCATCGGACACACAGAGGGGTGGGCGGTAGCACAGGAGGGTTGAGTGCGGTGAGGCGGGGTGGGGAGGGGAGGGGGGTGGGTGAGGCCCGGTACCCCACACGGCCGTTCGTCCGCCCGCCGCTTCCTGTGCATGTTGGTTTAGAGTGCGAGTTTGGATTTGAACCAGGAGAGAGGCACACCTTGAGGCAATTCCAGGCTTATGCAGAGAGGTTTGAAAGGAGCTATTTTGAAGGAGCGGGGGAGGGGACGGAGGGAGGTGGGGTGGGTGGTGGGAGGAGGAATGGAGGGGAATTTTCGTGTTCGGGGACTGGAAATGGAAATGTCGGTGAGGGTGGGGATGGGAGGAATGGAGGGGTGCCGACGTGGGAGCAGGTGGAGGGGGAGTTTTGGAGGGTTGTGGAGGCACCAAGCGAGCGTATAGAGGTGAGAGGGCAAACGGGAGAGGTGGGGAATGTGATGTGACGTGCTGTGACGTGGTGTGGTGTGACGTGGTGTGATGTGGTGTGGTGTGGTGTGGTGTGGTGTGGTGTGGTGTGGTGTGGTGCGGTGCGGTGCGGTGCAGTGTGATGTGATGTGACGTGATGGGGTGTAATGTGATGCGATGAAGTGAAGTGAAGTGTGATGTGACGTGATGGGGTGTAATGTGATGCGATGAAGTGAAGTGAAGTGCGATGTGAATGTGGCAGGAGTTGTGTTAATCACTGTGCTTTCATTGATCCTTCCGTCTTCGCTGATCTCTGTGCATGTTGCATGTTGCATGTGCAGGTGCTGTATGCATCGGACGTGGAGAGGCACAACATACAACCTGCTCCCACCACACCGCACGTGAAAGCAAAAGCAGCAGCAAATCCTGATGCAGCACCGTCAAGGCTGGCAGCACTAGCAGCGGTAGCAGCACTTGATGATGCTGATTTGACTGGTGCCGAACTAAGGGGCTTTGATGCAGCAAGCCCAGCAGCACCTGCAGCAAATTCGGCAGCAATGGAAGACCATTTGCTGCCACCGGTGATGCTGTCTATGCGAAATACAGTACCGCCATTACCGTCAGTGTTGTCGACGCCCATGCAGCGTCAACCGAGTCACAACAGCAGCAGCAGCAGCAGCGTTGCAAGCAGCATGGCCGCAAGCAGAAGCAGCAGTATCGGCAGCAGCAGCGCCCGCGGTGCCGGCGGCGGCGGCGGCGGCTGGGGCGGCGGCGGCTGGGGCAGAGGCAGCGGCATTGACGGCAATGCGGGTAGTAGTAGAGATGGTGGTGTTGGTGGCACTAGTGGCGGTGGCGTTGGCTGCGGTAGAGGCAACGGTTTTGATCGCAATGCTGGTGGTAGTAGAGGTGGTGGTTCTGCTGGCACTCGTGGCGGCGGCGGCGGCGGCAACAGCAGCGGCAGTGGTGGTGGGGGAGGGAGGTGGGACATGTCGAGTGTGGCGCGCATGGCACCATCAGTGCTGCAATTTGAGGAGGAGCCTATCTCAGGCATCACTGCGCCCTGGGTCTACTTCGGCATGTGCCTCTCCTCCTTCTGCTGGGTGCGTGCCTCCTCGCTCCCTCTCCTCTCCTCTTTTCCTCTCCTCCTCTTTTCCTCTCCTCTTTTCCTCTCCTCTTTTCCTCTCCTCCTCTTTTCCTCTCCTCTTTTCCTCTCCTCTTTTCCTCTCCTCCTCCCTCCCTCTTCTTTCCTCTTTTCCTCTCCTCCTCTTTCCTTCTCCTCCTCCCTTCCTCGCCTCCTCTTTACCTCTCCTCCCTTCCTCTCCTCCTCCCCTCCTCTCCTCCTCCCCTCCTTTCCCCCTCCCTTCTCTCTATGCTCGTCCGTCGCTGTTTCTTTCACTGTGTGTTGTCTCTCCCTTCCTGGCCAGTAACATGCGCTAGCTTCATGTGCTCTTTACCCGTATCTCTCAACATCCCAACTGTCCATCCCATCCGTCCCCAACCGTCCATCCCATGCGTCCCCAACCGTCCATCCCAACCGTCCATCCCATGCGTCCCCAACCGTCCATCCCATGCGTCCCCAACCGTCCATCCCAACCGTCCATCCCATGCGTCCCCAACCGTCCATCCCAACCATCCATCCCATGCACGTGGCAGCATGTGGAGGATCATCATCTCAACTCACTCAACTACTTGCACTGGGGGCGTCCCAAGGTGTGGTACGGAGTGGCCAGCAGGCATGCAGAGCGGTTTGAAGCGGTGATGCGCAAGCGCCTGCCCGAGGCCTTCCGTGGCATAGATGACCTGCTGCAAAGCCTTGTGAGTGCAGATGGACGGGCAGATGAACGGGCAGTTGAACAAGCAGATGAACGGGCAGATGCATGGGCAGATTGGCAGGCAGATGGGTGTGGCAGATGGGTGGAGAGTTGAGCGGGCAAATGGGTGTGACATATGAGATTGCCAGAGCCTTGAAATACATCACATAAACAAATCATGGCAAACGGCACATTACGAAAAAATATGAGTTACCTACAACTCATAAACACGTCATGCGCCCCCCTCCTCCTCCCCTCCTCTCCGTTTCCTGCGCCCCCCAGGTGACGCAGCTGTCCCCGGCTGTGTTGCAGCAGGAGGGCATTCCTGTGGTGCGCCTCGTGCAGCACCCCAACGAGTTTGTGGTCACCTTTCCGCGAGCCTACCACTCAGGTCAGATCAGATCAGCTGCCAGTGAGCGTAACTGTCACTCGTACATACCACGCAGCTCAGTGCGTCTCGTGCAGCGTCCCAACGAGTTTGTGGTCACCTTCCCGCGAGCCTACCACTCAGGTCAGTCAGATGCTACAGGAGGTGTTGTTGCCGTCGCCGTCCTGTCTGTCTGTCTGTCTGTCTGTCTGTCTGTCTGTCTGTCTACATTATGACTGCGCCATGTAGACATGATTGGCAGGCTGAAGCTAGGGTCTGGTTGTTCCAGAGTCGGGATTTTTCTGGGGTTGTCTGATACGAGAGTGACCCCGAGGCAGGAAGGTAGTGTGGTGTGGTGTGGTGTGGTGTGGTGTGGTTGTCAGCTGTTTGCGTGCTGTTTTGTAGCAACCTGCCCTGTCTGCTTTGTGTTCCGTTTTTTTGCATCTTGAAAACATCTCAGATGCAAACCCTAATACAGCTCGTTTTCACCAGCCGTCCTTCTCCACCAATTCCCACTCCCTCCCACTCCAACGTTGCCCCAACCAAACGTTCCGAATCCATTCCTCCCACCCCAACCCTACTCCCCTCTCCAGGTTTCAACGTCGGGTTCAACTGTGCCGAGGCTGTCAACATGGCACCACCTGATTGGCTGCAGCACGGGCTGCGGGCAGTGGAGGGTTATTGTTCCATTAAGCGTAGCGCCACTCTCTCCCATGACAAACTGCTGCTGCGCGCTGCTGCTACTGTCCTTGAAGCTGCTGCTGCTGCAGCTGCTGCTGTTGCTGCTGCTGGTGCTGTCCTTGAAGCTGCTGTTGATGCTGCTGGTGCTGATGCTGATACTGCTGCTGCTGCTGCTGCTGCTGCTGCTGCTGCTGCTGCTGCTGAGGGGGCAGTGTGGTGTGAGAATGCGGAGACAATATGTGTTGCTTTAGAGGTGAGATCAAAATGGTGCACGAAATACACTCTTCTTTCCCCAGTTCGACACACACACTCACACACTCACACAGACACACCCACGCACCCACACACACACACACACACACACACATGCTCACACACAAATTCCCACCCATGCACACAGGCACACAAACGCGCGCATTCGCAAAACTCTCTGACTTGTAACTCCGTCTGCTATTTCCATGTGATTGCCACCCATCAACAGGAGCGTGTGTCTCTTAGAGAAGAGCCGGCAACAAGCTCTTCTCCTACTCGCCACTCTGTTGCCGCTTTTTGAGACGCCTCAAATAACGTCTCACCACTCACCACTGTGACCTTCCATTCCATCTGCCAACCCAACCCTCTTGTGATTGCCACCCATCAACAGGAGCGAGTGTCTCTTGAGAAGAGCCGGCAACAAGCTCTTCTCCTACCTGCCACGCTGTCGCCACCGTCGCAGCCGTCGCAATCAGCTCAAGCACCTACTTTCCGCATCTCACGCGTCAACACATTCCCTCCGCCCTCGGGCACAGCCCCACCCTCGGCTCCACAACGCTCCTCATGCCCTTCATCTCAGGCAACGGAGCGACCCCGAGCCGCACAAGCCGCACAAGCAGCACAAGCAGCGCAATCCATACCTGATTTGGATTTCCTGCAGTGCTGCTACTGCTCCAACGACCTCTACCTCTCCTTTGCCTCGTGCTGCCGTGCATGCTTCCCCAGGCAACCTGGCACCACCAGTGCAGCAGCAGGCGGGTCCGTCCTAGAAGCAGCACTTAGAGCACCACCACCAACAGCAGCAGCTACAGCAGAAGCAGATGAAGCAGGTGCGCTGGAAGGGTTGACTGCTTTGGGGTGCGCAGCAGGTGCTGACAGGGCTGCAGTTGCGGGTGCTGGCAGTGCTGCAGTTGCAGGTGCTACTAGTGCTGCAGCTGCAGGTGCTAGTAGTGCTGCAGTGACCGGTGCCGGTGCCCCTCGAGTGGCTTGTATGGAGCATGCACGGCAGTTGGTGCAGGAATGTCCGCACAACACAGCCAGACCTCCTTTAAACCGCCTCAAAACACCTGGAACCGCACACGTAGACCATGGGAGGCAGCCGGTGCAAGAGTGTCCTGCGTGGGGTTCGGCGTGCAATGAGGCAGGAAGCTCAGGATGTGAGTTAGACCCGGTGCTGTTTGTGAGGTACACTGTGGAAGAGATGGAGGATATAGTGCAGCTACTGAAGGAGCTTAAAAGGTGTACAAGTGGGCAGCAGAAGGCAGGTGCAGATGAGGCAACTGTTGGGGCTGGCAGGACTCGTGCTGGGGGGGAAGGGGGAGCTTTTGGGGTTGCTGCTGGTCCTGCCACTGCCCCTGCTACTGCTGCAGTGAAGGCTGCTGCTACTGCTGCTGCTACTGCTGCTGCTGCTGCTGCCGCTGCTCCTTCTGCTTCCACTGCTCCTGCTGCTCCTGTTTTAACCTCGTCTCCTGCCCCCCTTTTATTCTGCAATCATTCTAAACCCGCTTCAACAGATACTGCTCCTCGCCCTTCTTTCGTTGCTGCTGCTCCTCGTGCTCCCCTTCCTCCTCTCTCCACGCCCTCTGCATCGCTCTCTGTATCCGCATTGAAAGCTGTACCTGGATCTAACGCTGCTGCCAGGAGAGCACCATTACACCCGTCTCCAACCTCTTTTACCTCGAAGAAATCATGCCGTTCACCAGCAGAGTCCTCCCGCTCCTTCTTCTCTGCTCGTGGGTCCCCCTCTGCACTTCCCCCTCCCTCTGCTCCTGCTGCTTCTGCCTCTGCCTCTGCCTCTGCCTCTGCCTCTACCTCTGCCTCTGTCTCAGCTTTTCTTCATAGCCCTCCCTCTCGTGCTGCTGTTAGGGCTGCGTTTTCCTCCACAGCCTCACAGCAACCTCCCTCCCCAGCCCCGTCCATCCCACCCAGAGCACCTGCGGTTCGTGCTGCCTTTCCTGCCAGAGTTCCTCCTCTTCAATCCACTGTGCCCGTCACAGTGGTTGCTGCTGCAGCAATAGCAACACGAACAGTAGCAGCAGCACCAGCAGCACTAGCAGCAGCTTCAGGGGCTGCCGCTGCAGCAGGGAAAGGGGCAGCAAGGAGGAAAACAGGAGCGGTTGTTTCAGGAGCAAGGGTAGAGGTTTGGAGTAACCCTCATGCAACGGAGCACACGCTAGGTGAGGAGCAGCAGCAGCAGCAGCAAGAGCAGCAGGAGCAGGCAGAGGGGTTGTTGTTGCGGAAGAGGAAGAGGAGCACGGAGGGTGCGGAAGACCCTCTGAAGAAGAGCTGGCTGCGCCTGGAAGCTCGGTGTAAGGAGCGCTCAACCCTGCAACAAGGCCATCAGTGGCAGCAGCAGCAGCTACAGCGGCGGCAGCAGCGAGAGGCAGAGATTGTGGTCCTCTCGTCTGATGATGAGGATTAGGAACTGAAAGAGCAGGCAGAACAAGCGGAGCAGGCCAATTGGCAATAGGAGTCAGATCGGCAAGAGAGGCAAGGCCAGCAATCACATGATGAGCATTGAGCACTGGAATCACCGTGCACGAGCTGGATTTTTAGATATTACAAAAACAAGAGCGGCAATGCCAACAATCCATTGATGAGCATTGAGCACTGGATACACAGTTGCACAATTGATCTGCATACCTCCAGGACGCAAGTCAGGCTTGGCTTAGGAGACAGCTGGCATCAGAATCGGCTCACCTTCGCTGTAGCTGTCTCTTCTAGTGACAACAGTGATGTTTTAAGTTCAGGAGCAGCTTCAGACACTAACAACCTCTACCATCGAGTAGTCAACGGTGTATGTTGACCCGGCGGACCCGCATCATGTTTTGAGATGCAAGCACCAGGATGGTCCAACTCGAGTTACGACGGGATGAAGCTTGCGGTGACGAGGATCTCTAAGGCTACGATGGAGGATAGTGTAGTGCGGTCAGAGAAGCGGGTTGATGTTACGGTGCGATGACCAATGGATGGAGAGAATCGCGCTCTAGAGATGAGTGTCGCGGATTAGCTATCGCTTTCTCCATCTCTACTTGGGTAATGCGGCTATTCTATAAGAGTGGAAACGTCAGAAAACGGATACTTACACACCAATTGGCGCGCAATCGGTGCGTGCAGTTCACCTCTCTGATTGTAGAGAGGTAGGAGAGTTTAAAAGGTCGTTTTTATATTCGTTACGACCAGGCCCTCAGATATCAGCGTAAAACACGCTGATTACGCTGATTTTGTAGCTCAGATTTTCGTTTTCCCTGAAAATTCAGCATATGCTTCAAATTTGCACTGAAATTTCAGTGTAACATACCTTGCCACACTGACCATTTTCCGTGTTGCTGTACAAGTAACACTGACGAATCAGTGTAGTGTCGTGAGTCACACTGAAACGGACCAGACCGATTCGGGGTGGTACGCGTGTATACAGTCTGTACCTGGCCCGGGATTCACGAGACCCCACTAGGCTGTACCTGGCCCGGGATTCGCGAGACCTCACTCACACACTTAACGATGCATGCGCTGTACAGATCGCGTGCCGACGTGTTCTGCATCGCTGGAAGGAGCTCTCACAGCGACAAATTTTGAACGGGAAATTCAACTTCGTATTTCTTTTGTACACTGATGGTTCAGTTTACTTATAACTTTTACACTGGCAAAATCAGTATAAAGAAAACCATGAACGCTGATTTGGACACCTGGGCGACCGGGGCACGCAGCGTGACCAATATAGAAACGACCTTTTAAACTCTCCTACCTCTCTACACGCACCAATATAATTTATCATTATTGTACATAGATACGTTCCACAAAGCTACACAACTCCTGCTAACATTCCATCCACACCTACAATCGTGGGCCACAATTTGTCCCCACGTGCCTCTCCACCATGAATGACTTGGTTCGTGTACATCATGAATGTGTAGCTAAGCAACAAATGGACATGTCGAGACCACGTACGCTCATATAAGAACAAACGCTCCCCTAAACTTCATACCTTGCTGTCATCATACTCATTAGCGTACACCACTTACCGTTTCTCACATTGACGTCCGTGCATCCATCATGTATGATCCGTCCATAAAAAAAGCCCCACCATCCACCTCTACATCGTCCCCTTTTCTTGTCCACCAGATCGACATCCATTCCCCACATGGAAGACGCCAAATGGAGCAAGATGACACGGGCTTGAGTCCGTTATAGCGACACGCCGCCACCCCAACGAGCATCCTCCCAACAGCCCCCTTGAAAAATAAGTAAAAAAACGCTGTGTCATCCTCCCAACAGCCCCCTTGTGACACACCTAGCCCTAATTGCACGTCCCCTTCTGTCGTAACCAGGCCCTCAGATTGGTTTGAGGGTATGCTGATGGATCAGCGTGCCCAGGGCTGACGTTTCAAATTTAGGTACCCTGAGTTCAACCGAAAAAAAAAAAAAAAAAAAAAAAAAAAAAAAAAAAAAAAAAAAAACCCTGAAGGCACATTTTCCAGAAAAACAGCACCCTGATTGCTCAGGGTTGTGAAGTAGTGAACTCTGAATGTTCAGGGTCGATAATTGAAAATCAGGGTCATAGTAACGCGCTCTTTCTTTACCGGGGACAGAAGTCTCACTCAGAAGTCTCAATCAGAAGTCTCATTCTTTACCCTGCTCGAGGACGGGCACCTGGACGGGCACATTGACGGGCAGGTGGAGGGGCAGGTGGAGGGGTACGTGGAGGGGCGGGAGGCGCGGGTGCTGCGGTACCGGGAGAAGCGGCGCAACCGGCTCTTCTCCAAGACCATCCGCTACCAAGTGCGCAAAGTCAACGCCGACCGCCGCCCGCGCGTCAAGGTGTGCTCTTGGGGGAGGAGATGGGATTTGAAGGCTGTTGCGGTTTTCTTTCATGGCTTCTGTTAGATTTGGAAGGTCACTCTTGGCCAACTAATGTCCTTTCTCTCACCTCCCCCCTTTCCATGCAGGGACGATTTGTGAAGCGAGACTTGTGAATGCACGTTGCTTTGTAGGGCCCTGTTATCCCACTGCCTATGGGTTCTTATTGCTACTTTGTGGTTGTGTCATACTTGGGTTTGTGTCTACTAGACTGGATTGAGCTCAATGCATTAGTTGAGTGTACATTCTAGGATCTAGGTAGGTGCCAGAGTATCTTGCTTTTGATGTGTTTGTTTGGATTTACATAACATTGTAAATTATGCTTGATTTACTAGGGAGTGCAGTACGGTAGCGCGAAAGAACCCGCCACATCTGCCGTGTCCACCAGCGGTCACGAATGAGTCACCAACTCTCCGCGTCGGTGGGGTGGGAGTGAGCGAGGAACGGGGGACAAGTGCACGATGGAACACGGCACAGCGCCGTGCACCTCCTGCCACAACACAACACCGCATCGCGATTAATGACCTACTAGTTGAACCATCATCGCTCGTGACCTGTTGTTCGAGCTTTCAGCGCCACGCCGTGACTGCGTCTGTGAGCGCGTGAGCCTTCACCATGTCTCGAAATCTGATAGTCTATGGGGATTTCAGGCAGAATCTGCCTTGACCTAGCGCAAAAGGAATTTCTGTACGGAGCAGAGGTCGAATCTGCTGTTGGTGTCGCAAGGGTGACTGTGACTGGCGCTGTGACTGGCGCGCTATGACTTGCGATGTGACTGGCAATGTGACTGGCACTGTGGCGATGTGACTGGCACTGTGGCGATGTGACTCGCGATGTGACTGGCGCTGTGTCAGAGCACAACTAGTTCAACCAATAACAGCAACCTAATATTTGACATTATAGATTCGCCCGATCTTCGTCCCGATAACATCGCATTCAGGGTCCACAGGCCTCGTACTCTGTATTGACAGGGTCCGTGGAAACCCTACGCTGAGAGTGTACACAAAATTTCAGGGTCCGCTAAAGCAATACTCTGAATGGATCAGGGACCAAAATGTGAAAAACCTGATTTCTCAGGGTCCAGAAAGTGACAAGTCTGAAATCACCCTGAAATCAGGGTAATTACCCTGATAAAATCAGCCCTGGTGGAGAGGCACGTGGGGACAAATTGTGGCCCACGATTGTAGGTGTGGATGGAATGTTAGCAGGAGTTGTGTAGCTTTGTGGAACGTATCTATGTACAATAATGATAAATTATATTGGTGCGTGTAGAGAGGTAGGAGAGTTTAAAAGGTCGTTTCTATATTGGTTACGACAGAAGGGGGCGTGCAATTAGGGCTAGGTGTGTCACAAGGGGGTTGTTGGGAGGATGACACAACGTTTTTTACTTATTTTTCAAGGGGGCTGTTGGGAGGATGCTCGTTGAGTGGCGGCGTGTCGCTATAACGGACTCAAGCCCGTGTCATCTTGCTCCATTTGGCGTCTTCCATGTGGGGAATGGATGTCGATCTGGTGGACAAGAAAGGGGGACGATGACGAGGTGGAGGGTGGGGCTTTTTTAATGGACGGATTGTCAAACATATACATATGTTATATTTCTAGGTAGGCTGCAGTGGGGTAGATACTGTGGGGTACAAACCCTTAGGTTTCTTTCTTGTACCAAAACCTCTCGATAGTCAAACTCACTCCTGCCTAGTCTCTAAGATGGTATCTAGAGCAGTAGGTCTTTAGGACCTAAGATTAGGGCCCACCTGTTACCGCGTTACCTCACCTACGGCCTTGCCTGTCTGCCTGCCTTGCCTGCTGCCCGCGCGCGCCTCGGCTGCAAGCGCGCGTATCTTTTTTTTTAGCGCTCGCCGCTTAAGCAGCCCGCGCAGCCCGTTTTCGGCCCCGCGCGCCGCGTCAGCCACCCGCGCAGCCTGCTGCCGGCCCGCGCGCCGCTTAAAGCCAGGGTCTCACGTACTACAAGTGCTTTGCAATTGTTGGTGAAAGTGTGGCTTTGATTGGTTGGCGAGGTGTAAGGTTCGAAGTGGGGTGAAGCGAGGGGTGCGAAGCGAAAGTAAATCGCTGGGGGCAACCGAACCATCTAGGCTTGGAAACTTGGTTCGGAGCCAAACCTAAAATGCCCCCAACTCATCGAAAGTCTCGAGTACCCAAAAGTGTTGTGCAATTGCTTTTGGGGCAGTGACGCAAGCTGAGTTTCCAACCCAACCAGAGACAACTTCGCCAGCACTAACTTGGTTACCTAGCTTCAAGTGCTTTGCAGTCGATGGCTCCTTAGCTTACATGAGACCCTGGCTTTAAGCCGCCCATGCGCAGCCCACTTAGGCCCCGTGCGCCGCGTCCGCCGACCGCGCAGCCCGCTCCTGCCCCGGCAGCCGCCTTAGGAGATCGTGAGCGGCCCACTGCTGCCCCGCGAGCCGCCTTAGGAGCCCGCGCGTCGCGTCTGCCGCTAACGCAGCCCGCTGCTGCTCCGCTAGCTGCCTAAGGAGCGCGCACAGCCTGCTGCTGCCTCGCGCGCCGCCTTAGGAGCACGCGTGCGGCCCCCTGCTGCCCTGCACGCCGCTGTAGGAGCCCGCACGCGGCCTGCTACTGCCCCTCGCGCTGCCTGAGCTGCCTTTGCCTGCTGCCTACTGCCTGCTGCCTACTGGGCTTTGCCTTTGCCTGCTGCCTGCTGCCTACTGCCTTTGCCTACTGGCTTTACCTGCACTGCGATTATGGCGACGCTTAATGTTCTCGCGTTTGAGCCTGACGGTCGCCCGATCGAGTTCGTTGTGTGGCTCGACAATCTCCAACTGTTCCTTCTGACCGATGCCAAAGACGGCGTTTCACTGTTCGATTACGTGTCTGGCACTGCCGTTGCTCCTGCTGACGATGCTACTGCTCTCGAACGCTCACAGCGGCAGACTCGCGATGCTGCTGCACGCCTAGCTATTAGGAACCATCTGCCGATCACTGAGCGCGCGCATTTCAGCCAGCACAAAACTGCTAAGGCGCTGTACGACGCTGTAGTTGCGCGCTACCCCTCCCCGGCCACTGCAGCCCTACCTCATTTCTCACCTCCGCACTAGTGACACTCGCTTTCGTGCCGCCCTTCCAGCCGAGTTCTGCGCCGCAACCCCCCCCCCCCCCCCATGTACTTCACTCTCTACTTCCTCGTCACCCGCCTCCCTGACACTCTTAGCTCCGTCAGGGACCACTTCCTAGCCCTAGACCGTACCACTTTCACTGTCGCCGACTTCGAGAAGCACCTCCTAGCAGCAGAGAAGAACATCCTTGCTGTAGGTGCTGCTCGTGGTACTCCTCGCTCTCCCCTCTTTGAGGAGTGCTCCCCCTCCCCTCTTACCCCCTCCTACGCCTCTGCAGCTGCTGCTGTCGACCTCCTTGGTGCTGAGAAGGTCGCAGCTGCTTCCGCTCCTAGTGGGAAGCGCAGCGGCTCCAGGGGAGGCAAGGGTGGCAGGGGTGGCGGACGTGGCAGTGGAGGGGGCGATGGTGGAGGCGGCGGGGGAGGTGGAGGTGGTGGGGGTGGTCGTGGGGGTGGAGGTGGTGGTGGGGGCGGTGGTGGTGCTGGGAGCGGTGGCGGTGGCGGCGGCGGTGGTTGCGGAGGGGGGAGTGGTGGTGGCAGCGATGGTGGGGGCTTGGGTGACACCAGTGGTGGCCAGGGGCAGCAGCAACAACAGCAGCAGCAGCAGCAGCAGCAGCAGCCGCAGCAGCGTCAGCGCCAGACCCCCACTTCCCAGCAGCTTCTTGACTGGTATGCCGGGCGTGGGGCGTCTGGGGGTCCTGGTCGCTGCCCCTATATCATTCGCGCAGGTCCCTGCGCTGGTCGCCAGTGCACAGGGTTTCACACTGAGTACCGCTGCTTCGCTTGGCTTAGCGATGCCTAGCGCGTCAAGTTTCCTGATGCTACTGAGTTCCCAAATTGGGCAGACCTGCTTAGGCGTGATGTACCTATCTTTGATCTTGACTATGAGGCTATTCTTGCTGCCATGTATGCATTGACTGTTAGTGCTTAGGGTGACTGCTACTTGTGTGTGCCGCCTGACCCTGGTATAGCCCCAGGTATAGCGCCTGTGGCACTAGGTCCTTGTGAGTCTGCTCCCCCTGGTACTGCGTCAGCACAGGCCTTGCACACCTTCATACTTGACTCTGGTGCTTCCCGCTGTTTCTTTCGCGACAGCACCACAGTCACTCCCCTCCCTGCACCTGTTCCTGTCTCACTGGCTGACCCCTTTGGGGGCCCAGTGCTTGCACGGTCTTCCACTGTGCTTCCGTGACTGGCGGTCCCGTCTAGTGAGCTGTCTGGTCTCCACCTCCCCTCGTTTTCTACGAACTTGGTGAGCAACGCCGTCCTTCAGGATCACTGGGTTGACACCTTTACTCCTGGAGGACAGCGTGTGGCGATCTGCACGTGCTCCCGGACCGGCCGTCACCTGGCCACAATCACACGTGCGCCTGGGTCCAGTCTGTACACCCTCAACACTGCGTCGCGCTCCACCCCTTTGTCTCCCCAGCTATATGCGTCTGCTCAGGTAGCTACCCAGTATGAGTGTCGCCGACTGTCGCACGACACTCTCCTGTGGCACCACCGCCTTGGTCACCCCTCCCTGCCTCGCCTTCGTAGCATGCACTCTCGCTTCCTGGTCTCTGGCCTTCCCAGGTCTCTGCCTGCCCTCCCTCCCTCGCCTGCGCCGCCCTGCATTCCTTGTGTCGAGGGGCGGCAGCGCGCCGCTCCTCACTCCTCCTCGTTCCCTCCCACAGAGGCTCCACTGCAGACTCTCCACCTGGACGTGTGGGGCCCAGCCCGCGTCCGTGGACAGGGCCACGAGCGGTACTTCCTGCTGGTCGACGACGACTACACGCGTTACACCACGGTCTTCCCCTTGCAGCGCAAGAGGGAGGTCCCTGATGTTTTGATCCCCTGGATCCGCGTTGTTCGTCTCCAGCTCCGCGAGCGGTTCCAGTCGGACTTTCCTATCCTGCGTCTGCACTCTAACAGAGGTGGTGAGTTCTCCTCAGACCTCTTG